TCCCTGCTTCTTGGGCTTTATCATACCTCTTCCTAAACTGTGTGTGTGTGTGTGTGTGTGCCTGTCCGTCTTAGTGTCTACGTGAGAAGAGATTTATAAAGCATCCAAAACATCATCCAGTGGCTTTATAACACAAAAAGTTACCCAGCACATAATCAGTTTATTACCATCATTACCAGATTTGCTCTCATTACAGATATAATTAACCCGACGTAATTAAAGCAGTACAAAGTACACTAGTCGCAATCCGTACCATATTCATAATTTGTATCAATTTGCAGGCAATATGGCATAAAAAATTAACGAAAGGGAAAATCTCCCTGCGATTTAGGCCAAGAAATGAGTGGAGTTCTCATGAAAGCACTTTGGCTGCTTAATATGGTATAGTAACCCAGAGAGAGGAGAGAGAGAGGAGAGAGAGAGAGAGAGAGAGAGAGAGAGAGAGAGAGAGAGAGAGAGAGAGAGAGAGAGAGAGAGAGAGAGAGAGAGAGAGAGAGAGACAGACAGACAGATAGATAAAGAAGACGGGAGAGATAGAGACAAAATAGAGAGGAAGACAGGGAGAGATAGAGAGACAGGTACAGAGGAAGATGGAAAGATAAGAGAGGATAGAGACAGACAGAGAGAGAGAGAGAGAGAGAGAGAGAGAGAGAGAGAGAGAGAGAGAGAGAGAGAGAGAGAGAGAGAGAGAGAGAGAGAGAGAGAGAGAGAGAGAATAAATTAAGGGGAAACAGGGGGATGGATGTCAGTATCTGCTGATATAAACACTGTAATTAATATTGGTCAGTAACTACAGCCTCCAGTCATCCATCCATCAACTCGCCATCAACCTTTCAATTTCCTTTTCTCTTCATCAAAACAGTTTGACCAAATTTAATAAATAAAAACAAAAGTTACAAAATCTCGCTCTAATCCGCTGAATTATAAACAAGAAAAATTAGATATCCTAGATGCCTAGAAGTATATCTTCAAGTATATCTTGACCCTAGAGAGTTATACTTCTAGAAACAGACTCCATCTGGTATACTCGGGTATGCTATAGCCGGTGCGTGAAGATATTTAAATATTTATAATCTGAATTAGGTAATACTAATAAATATATTGAGTATAATTATTATTAACGTGAGATTTACCACACGTCAGTAAGACGATCCACTCCCGTACACGCCTCACTAGCGATCAACACACTGCTAGCAACACTGTATCTAGGTTGCAGTGTTGCGTTGTGTGTCAGCATTGCACGCATTACGGTCCGCTAGATTTGAAGTGCTTAGGATAACTGTATGCTAGAAAATGTTGACTAGTTTTGTCGACGAAGTGGCTAGATATTGTGTATCTCGCATCCATCCTGTGGATGGTAGTGGCTAGTTTGTGCACCTTGTATCCTGTGGATGGTAGTGGCTAGTTTGTGTACCTTGTATCCTGTGGATGGTAGTGGCTAGTTTGTGCACCTTGTATCCTGTGGATGGTAGTGGCTAGTTTGTGCACCTTGTATCCTGTGGATGGTAGTGGCTAGTTTGTGCACCTTGTATCTATCCTGTGGATGGTAGTGGTTATTTATTGTGCATCTATTATCTATCATGTGGATGGTAGTGGCTAGTTTATTGTGTACCTTGTATCTATCCTGTGGATGGTAGTGGCTAGTTTATTGTGCATCTATTATCTATCCTGTGGATGGTAGTGGCTAGTTTATTGTGCATCTATTATCTATCCTGTGAATGGTAGTGGCTAGTTTATTGTGCATCTATTATCTATCCTGTGGATGGTAGTGGCTAGTTTATTGTACACTACATATATTCTAGATGACAGTTACAGTGGGAACAAAAGCCATGTATCCACTGATCCACTGTCATATACTACATGACAGTAACACTGTCATATTCTGCTGTATTCTACATGACAGTTACTCAGTGGGAACACCAGCAGTATTTTCCTGACACATTCGCGATTAAATGTCATAGATGCATCACTGAAGAACAAAATGGAAGAGGAAATGGATGTGGAACTACATGACCTCTACAAGGAAAGAAACTGAGGGTTTGAAAAGGATAAATAAAGACGTGAAGAGAATGGACTGAGAGGATTAGTGGAAGAGAACAATAGGTTTACAGCATCAAAATAGAAAGTGATATTGTGAAGAGCTGAGAGAATGGAAGGGATGGTAAATGGGTGGAAAACAAAAAGGGAAGGAAGGAGGAAAGACAACAGAGGTAGAAGTTGAGGTAGTGAAGGTGGTATTGGTACAGGTAGAGTTGGTAGACGAAGTGGTACAGGTAATGGTAGGTGATATTAGGTGGTGGTGATAGTGGTAGAAGTATAAGTGGTGGTCACAGCTTATAGTAACAGACGATAGTAATAGCAGTAGTAGTGATAGTTCAAATAGTACATTTCATACACTTCAACCACCATTCCCAATAAACATCCACGCTTGTATATTTGCATACTTCGTGGATAATTTCATCCACACTGACATACAGCCATGTAGAGTGAGTGGAGGGGA